TTTACATTGTGAGTAAGCAGCACAGTTATTATTATTATTTTTTAAAAAGCTTCCTCAATAATGATTGGAAAATCAATGGTGAAAGGACTTGATAAAAAAAAAAAAAAATTGCTTGTTCATCATTGAAAAGTGCTAATGACACTCATTATTTTTGACTCACTTCCTGGCTGGACCTTGTAGGCTTTGTGGTGTGTGTTTCTGCCATCATAAAAACACAATAAAACAATTGAAGTTTTATTAGAGGCTTTTGTAGGGGGTAGTTTGTTGGTTTTAACAGTTTTGGCTCGATTCCTTCAGTGTTGTTAGAATTACTCAAGTGTTTGTCATCACAACTTGAACAAAAGTTGGTTCCCTAGGAAGCTACAGGATGCTTAAATAGCCAAAAACCAAATATAAGAATAAATCAAACCAGAAACTGAAACTCTTAACTGTGTTTTACTGTACACTGTAAGCAAATACTGGACTGCAATAAAATATGAGGCATTTTCCAACAAACACTAGAAGCAATTTGTCAGGAGGTGGAGAATTATTTGGGATTTACTGAGAAATTAACGATTGGTAGGCTTGGAAAAACACAACTTTGTGTTTCAACTTTTTCTTTGCTGTTTGGTTCAACACTCATTTACAGAAAGCAGAGCAGAAATGGGTGGAAATAAAGCTGTTTCCATCCCCCTGGATTAAACCAGGAGGGCTGAATCTTCAGCAGCCTGGCTGTGTTAACATCCTGCTCCCACCTCTTCTCAAATGCTCAGAAATCTTCACACAAATCTTCTGTGTTACCTTTAAAAAGAGAACTGCAGGTGGTTTTTTTTTTTTGTGGGCATACCAACAGAAATGGCCAAACACAAACAACAAAATAGGCAAGTAAAGTTCTCTACCCCCACTTTTCTCTTTCAATTAAGGTCTTGAGCCAACAGTTCCCAAGTAGAAGAGGATCACCAGGGAGATCAGCACGGTCCCAAAAGGCACCCATGAGATTTCCATCTGTTTGTGTTTTACCCATAAGAAATCAGGTAAAAATGAAGACGTGGCTTTAATTTGTCCTCATAGCCAATGAAAGGACTTTCACACCTGGGCATCAGTGCTACCAGCGAGCCATGGAGTACACAAACCCTACAGATTTGGCCCTGAGGTCCACCCAAACACCAGTACTTGCTCAGAATTACCTTGAGCCATGAACAGCCTTCTCCCATCTGTATTCCTTCCACAGCAGACAAAGGGGCAGTTCACACTTTGGATGCTCCCACAAGCAGGGGAGGAAGAAGGTGCTTCAGCAGGCCATCAGTTTTCTAGAAAATGGATAAAAGAAGCCTATGAAACCGTGATACCATTGTCACCTTGGGCTGAAACCAGCCTATGGCTGCAGAAACCAAGAAAAAGCCAAGCCTAACTTTGATGCCATATATAAAAAATACATTAATTTTAAAAAGAACAACCCAATGTCTCCATACATTTCAATGCCCTCTGCTGCCCTCCAGTTTACATGCAGCAGGAAACAGGGATCATCCCATGTTTGCAGGCTGGATTCATACACTTCATGCCACAGCTGGGAATCCTAACACTGCCTCACACAGTCAATAATGATCACAAAGCAAATTATTTGCTTTATCTCTGGCTTGTTATCTTTACACAGGGGGCCACTACCGTTTCCAGGAATCCCTGCTTCCATCTCCCATTTGACTCATTTCATTGCAACTATTTTCTGTCTCTTCTGAGGAGGAAATGACTGACGGTGCCCGCATGTATCATTCTTTTTTTTTTTTTTTGTCTGAATAAAAGTGGAAGTGGGTGCTCCGATGACTACTTCTTTATTTTAGACTTTTAAATGTACCAGAACTATATGAGTCATTCTTTCAAAGAAGCTGAAATAGTGAATTACCAGGAACTGGGCCCACACCAAAGTTAGACCACGGGCTTTTCTCCTACAAAGACTGCAGGTGTCGACCTGCACAAGAAGGCATGAAGAACCACTGACAGAGAAACTCCAGCTAGAAATGGTGCCTGAGCTCCACAGGCTCCAGTTCCTACTCTCCCTCACCAAAAAAAATGACAAAAATTTCCTCTAATTCCTTATGCTTTCATAACACGAAATGGGAATAGATCACTGAGAAAGGAACTCTCACCAGAAACCTTACTTTTCCTCATCAGAAATAATTCCCAATATTACAGATCTGCGTTTCCTTACGACTGCTGCAAAGGTTTCATCTCACCCAAAGATGGATATAAGAAAAAAAAGTGGTTTACAATAAGGGTGGTGAAGCACTGGAAGCACAGAGAGGTGGTGGATGCCTCATCCTCAGGGGCATTCAGGGTCAGGCTCTGGGAACCTGATGGAGCTGTAGGTGTCCCTGTTCACTGCAGGAGAGTTGGACCAGATGGCTTTTAAGAGTTCCTTCCAACTCAAACCACTCAGAGTCTCTGATTCTTTGAAATATTATGTCACGGGAACTTGGAAAGCCTTTTTTTTTTGGCTAGCAGGACCAGCTTGGTAACAAGAATTCCAGTCTTTGACATGTCAGTAGGATCTAGGAGGACTCTGGCAAATCAGTGATCACAACTACATGGTCAGAGCATGAGATTGCCATCGCTGACTGCATGATAATGGAAAAATCCCTTATTCTTCCCCACATCTTGGGTTCTTCACTGCTTAACAGCTTTTTTGCACACCGCTGCTGTGGTTGTGAGATGTTGAGATGGTGTTGATGATGATGTTGAGATTTACAACAGTGTGACACTGACGTCTGGCAAGGCCTTGAGTAAGAAGTGGCTTACAAGTGAGCTGTCACACTGTCATCCCATTAGTCTTTCTCCTTTATTTTTTTTTCATAGAATCTTAGAAACATCAAGTTTGGTAAAGATCTCCACAATCATCAAGTCCAACCATCAACCCATCACTACCAGGGCCCCTCATGGAATCATTAAGGTTGGAAAAGACATCCAAATATTCAAGTCCAACTGCCAAAACATCATCACCATGCCTACTCATAAAATCACAGCTACTCAGCATAAAGAAATACACCCAACCAGAGCTAAATCAAAGCCTGGGCACCTCAGCAACATACAATTGCACAATGCTTTGCATAAAGTGTTTGGACGAGCCCAGATCACCCTGTCCCTTATTTATCTGAATTATTTATCTACTTTTTTCTCCTTAAATGCTAATTTGCTCCTCCCATCCTTGGGGCAGAACCATCCCCAGGCTCTGCACTTCAGTATTGTCAAGAGGAACAAAATTCCTGGGGGGTTAACAACCTGTGGAACCAGATGAAAATATATTAGAAAAAAATCCTATTTAAAGAGGGCAACCAAGTCATTCTTTATGTTTCTCACTGTACAGGGACACTTCCCTGAGAACACCATGGAGGTGAAGATAGATAGCTTTCCCCCAGGAAAGCTGGGGAGGGACTTTTTATAAGGGCAGGTAGTGATAGGACAAAGGGAAATGGTTTTAAACTGGAAGAGGGTAGGTTTAGAGGTAGATTTAGTGAGGGAAAGCAATGGGGGCTGAAGGATGGGTGTAAGGAGAGAACCAAAAAATTGCTCTGAGGGGATCAGGGATGGAGCTGAGGGAAAGGGCCAAGAGCTGAGGGAAGAAATCAGGGGACTGAGGGAAGAAGCTGAAGGAAGGGGCTGGAGCCCGTGAAGGAAAAAATCTATGAGAGAAAAATCTGTGAGGGAAGGGGCTGTGCAGAATAGGGCTGAGATCTGTGAGGGAAGGGGCTGAGGGAAGAGATTGAGGGCTGAGATTTGTGAGGGAAGTCGCTGAGGGAAGGCAATG